TGTGTACAGTCACCCTAGGGTCACACAACTGGGCGTTGTGTGTGTGTACAGTCGTCCTGGGGTGGCACAGCAGGGCCAGCGATGAGCAGGACCACTAGCAGGAGCCCTCCGGGAGCACAGCTCGCTGGGGGTCCCTGGGCAGAGCCAGACCTGGCTAGATACATACAGCCCCAGCCAGTGCCAGGGGCAACGAGGCCAATGATCTCTGGGACAGGGCCTGTGTCTCGTGGGCTGTGCAGCGCCTGGCACAAGGCCTGGGGTGGGGGTGCCCAAAGGGTAGCTAATGGCCAGCTGAGCCAGTGGGGAAGCTGCGAAAGGCTTACGGCAAATAAGCTGAAGGGAACTCTCAGAAAGCCACAGAGGTAGAGCCCCAAGGCCCCCGGAAAGCCCTTTGCAGGCTCCCTGAGCCCCCCCAGGGTGCAGGCGATAGGGAGGGAACTGGCAGGCAGAGGAGATGTTAGCACAGCGCTGAATTCGGCTAGGACACCCTGCTAAAGCCAGCTGCCCCTCTGCCCCGTTGCGTCTCTTCCCCAGGCCCGGCCAGACAGGCTAAAGCACCTCAGCGGCTCACAGCAGGGAGGGCTTTTCCCTCGGGAAAATTCCCACTATTTGTCAAAACACCAAATATCCCCCCCGCTTCCCCCCCCCCCCACACACACACACCATTTTTTTCTCCCAAGGGAAAATCAGAAAGTTCTCAGATAGAACCCAGGAGTCCTGGCTCCCAGCCCTGCCTGCTCTAACTACTAGACCCCAGTCCCCTCCCAAAGCAGGGGAGAGAACCCAAGTGTCCCCCTCCCCCACCACATCCCCTCCCCTCTTCTGCCAAAACATTTGTTTTGTTGAGAACCTGATTTTCCATCAGAAAACGAGTCACAGCCGGGTCAGCCCCCGCTCCAGGCGCAAGGCCGCGTGAGCAGCCGCCCCGGGCACAGGTCAGCCCCGCTCCATGTCCAAGGCTGTGTGAGCAGCTGTCCCAGGCACGGATCAGTCCCCCCAGCTGCAGGGCCACGTGATCAGCCACCCCGGGGACGGATCAGTCCCCCCAGCTGCAGGGCCACGTGAGCAGCTGGGGCAGTGGTGTCCTCACTGGAAGAATATCAAAAAAGCCACTGCAGCCACTAACCCAAGTTGGCTTCTTCCCGTGGCACAACCCCCCCCCCCCCGCCCCCCAGGGCTCCCCCTGCTCATGCAGCATACAATCATAGAATATCAGGGTTGAAAGGGACCTCAGGAGGTCATCTAGTCCAACCCCCTGCTCAAAGCAGGACCAATCCCCAACTAAATCATCCCAGCCAGGGCTTCGTCAAGCCTGACCTTAAAAACCTCTAAGGAAGGAGATTCCACCACCTCCCTAGGTAACCCATTCCAGTGCTTCATCACCCTCCTAGTGAAATAGTGTTTCCTAATATCCAACCTAAACCTCCCTAACTGCAACTTAAGACCATTGCTCCTTGTTCTGTCATCAGGTACCACTGAGAACAGTCTAGATCCATCCTCTTTGGAACCCCCTTTCAGGTAGTTGATAGCAGCTATACAATCTCCCCTCATTCTTCTCTTCTGCAGACTAAACAATCCCAGTTCCCTCAGCCTCTCCTCATAAGTCATGTGTCCCAGCCCCCTAATCATTTTCGTTGCCCACCGCTGGACTCTCTCCAATTTGTCCACATCCTTTCTGTATTGGGGCGACCAAAACTGGATGCAATACTCCAGATGTGGCCTCACCAGTGCTGAATAGAGGGGAACGAGCACGTCCCTCGATCTGCTGGCAATGCTCCTACTTATACAGCCCAAAATGCCGTTAGCCTTCTTGGCAACAAGGGCACACTGTTGACTCATATCCAGCTTCTCGTCCACTGTAATCCCCAAGTTCTTTTCTGCAGAACTGCTGCCTAGCCCAGGGGTGGCCAACCTGTGGCTCTGGAGCCACATGTGGCTCTTCAGAAGTTAATATGCGGCTCCTTGTATAGGCACCGACTCCGGGGCTGGAGCTACAGGCGCCAACTTTCCAGTGTGCCCAGGGGGCTCACTGCTCAACCCCTGGCTCTGCCACAGGCCCTGCTCCCACTCCCCCCCTTCCTGCCCCCTCCCCTGAGCCTGCCATGCCCTCACTCCTCTCCCTCCCCCCCAAGAGCCTCCTGCACACCACAAACCATCTGATCGATGGGGCTGCTGGTGGGTGGGAGGCTCTGGGAGCTGGGGGGGCTGATGGGGGGCTACTAACATAGGTGCCAACTTCTCGCGCCGGTGGGTGCTCGACCCGCCTCTGTACCTGGCCCAGTCCTGACTCCACCCCTGCCCCGCCCCCATTCCAACCCCTTCCCCAAAGTCCCTGCCCCAACTCCACCCCCTCCCTGCCCCTATTCCAACTTCTTCCCCAAATCCCCGCCCCAGCCCCGCCTCTTCCCCACCTCCTCCCCTGAGTGCGCCATGTTCCCGCTCCTCCCCCCTCCCTCCCAGAGCTTGCTACGCCACCAAACAGCTGTTTGGCAGTGGCAAGCACTGGGAGGTAGGCGGAGGAGCGGGGATGTGGCGTACTCAGGGGAAGAGGAGGCGGGGCGGGGGGGT